CAATGTACCTTTTTTAATATAGTTATAAAGGTGAATATACCTTCCTCAATATAATGATGAAGCATATAGTAACAAAAGTAATATGCCTTCTTTAGTATAGTTATAAAAGCAAATATGCTAGTATGCCTTTCTCAGCAAAAAAAGCTGTATCTTAACAAGTAAGATGTTTAAATTTTACTTAAAAACTTTTTTTAAAAAAAAACAAAAAAAAATAAAAAATCATAACAACAAATGAATTTGAATCTATTACTGAAACAAATCAATTTGAATTTGAATCAAATCAATTTAAATTTGAACCAAATTAATTTGAATTTGAATTTGTAAATAAAGAAACTTTTAGTTAAGAAATCTCTACTGGCAATGAAATCATATTCTCATCTCCAAACAACATAGAAAAAATATACCAAAAAAAATATTATATCAGCAAATAAATGAGTACCTGTTAGAGATTATCTTTTATCAATTGATATTAATAGAGGTAATATATGCAAACTATATAAGCAAAAATTTAGTAGCTAATCATGATATCAACTATTAATTAGCATTTTCAAAATTTTTATCTTGCAGAGTTTACTAAGATCAGGCAACTTAAATCTTATCAGCTCAACCTCTATGGCCTAAATGACAAATATAAAGTAGATATTTTAAACAATAAACTTTTAAAATAAGTAGTTGTCGATCAACAATTATTTTTATTAGCAGAAAATGCTGAATTTAATAATCTTTTAAAGGAACTTAATCCTCACTACAAACTCCTATGTTAGCAAACACTCTCAACTTAAGTTAGTCAAGATTACATTAAAAATAAAAATAAAATCAAATTTTTTTTAAATACAATTCAATCAAAAATCTTAATTACAATAGATAGATGAACCTTTTATACCTAACAACTCTACATCATTGTAACTGCATATTGAATAAACTCTGATTAAAAAATGAATTGTATCTTACTTGACCTTATTCTATTTAATGAAACCTATACTGCAATCAACCAAGCTTATATGATCATCAGAATTTTAAAGAAAATGAATTTTAGTTACAAATTTTTAGGAATCACAACTGATAATGCTATCAATATGCTTGCAATAAGATGTATTTTAAAAGAAAAAATTAGTAATAAATTTAACAATCAAGATGTATAGCATTTTTGCTGTGATGCATATGTTCTTAATATTATTATTGAAGAAAAAATAAAATCAATTAGTAAAGAAATTTCTAAGATACAGGAGTTCTTTATGAAACTTTAAAACTTTCTATCACTTATTCATAAATTAAAAAAAATTTTTGAAATGAAAAATATATTATTTTTAATACCTGAAACTAATATCAATATGAGATAGAACAACATATATATTATGTTAGAAAAACTTCAACAAATTTACTCTATGACTAATATCTTGTAGAAGATAATTAAACTTTAAAGCCAAACTATTCTGATGATTAAGAATAGAAGATTATTATTGTTAGTAATACTAATTTAAATTTTTTTTTTTTAAATACTCAACTCTAATAAATATAATTACAAGACCTGTTAATACTTCTTGAACCTATGTATTATGTAACTGTAATACTATCTTCATCAACACTTCTTACTCAAGGTAACCTTTGTATAGTATTTTATAACCTAATTACTCACTTAAATAATAATGAAAACTCAGAGATTAATACACAATATGCTGTAGTTAGTGCAATGAAAACAAAGTTCACATTATATTGAATTCACTTGAATAAGTTGTCAACAATTTTAAGCTTTCTTGATCTGTGTAATAAGCTTTTAACCTATGTAGTAAATGAATATGAGCAAGCTATTAATATACTCTATGAGATGTATAAAAATTATAAACTAGCTAAAAAAAATCAATCACTATTACTATCTGCTACTAAATCAATATATGATCTTTTTCACAATCTTATAAATTGCAGTTAAGTTAACAAGAATCAGTATAAGATTATAACCTACTTGTCTGAATCTTAAACTGAAGCTGAACTACTGCTATAGTAAAAAACAAATTCCAAAAAATACCCAACTCTTTCTCATATCACAATAGATTTTCTCACTATGCAAGCTACTAGTATTGCTAGTAAGTAAGCATTTTCTGTTGCTAAGCATATGATTACTCCTATCCAAAATTATATAAATCCCAAAATAGTGTATGTATTGTTGTATTTAAAAAGCTAATACACTAAACTAGATGAAATTTTAAGTGAAAGGGTAAGTGAAGAAGTAGTTAGCATCTAATGCTAATAAATAAATGATTTTTTTTTTTTTTTTTTTTTTATAATTTTTTTATATAAAAAAATTTTTTTTTTATATATTATGTTTTTTCTTTATATTTTTTTTTTATATTTTCTTTTATATATATATATAAATTTTATAAATTTTTTTTTATGTAAAAAAAATTGTGTAATAAAGTCGTCGTTTTGACGAAAAAAAATAAAATTTGGTTTAATAGTCAATCTGATTGGATGAACCTGTTGAGGATTGTAATTCAGGACCCGGTCCTGGGATCGATTAATTAACGGTTTTTCATAATAGATCCAGGACCGTCCTAATAGATTCTGGGATCGGACTGGACCGGATTCGCAATTTAATATCCCTACGCTTCAGAATAACTTATACAATCATTAAAACTAAGACAAAGCCCTTTTCCACCATAGCATATGTCATTAAGCTTTGCATACACATTTAATAAAAAGTAAAGGAAAATCACAATTTTAATGTAATACATTTTTTTAAATTATATATAATAATTATGGGGAAAACTATCAACTATAAGAACTAATACTAAAACAAAATAATAAATTAAGGGTTATTAGTATGCAAGAACCAAAAGAAATTATAAGAAATACGAGTCTTAGATAGAATAATAATATATAGAATACACAAAATAAGATAATGGTTCAAATAAGTAAAAGAAAGAAGTTATATAAAGTTTCTTTCGGTATTTGTTTATTTAGGTTATAGTAAACAATTGGATTCTGAAGAACTTTATTTGAGATAAGCACTCCCTTTTATATTATCTTTGTTAATTTAAAAGGTTACTAATACATTACTTTAAATGTCATACGATGCATTTAAATATACTACACTACTTTTTGCAAAATATCGTGCGATGCACTTTATTTTAGACAAATTAATATCAAATTCACTCGCGGGTAAAGTAGCCTGAGGTTCCAATTATTACTAAATTAAGTTTGGTGTTATAGAAAAATCATTGAAAACCAGATGAATTAAATAGAAGACCCACAAGCGGGTCTTAGGTATGGTAACCTGCGGACGGAACCTTTAAATAGACAATGACTAAAGTTGTACGTGTGGCTAATTGTGGCCTCACTGATATGAAATGTAATACTCCCTACTTAACGTAGGTATAACGGAACATAGAGCTTTCTCTTTAAAAAAATAAAAATAAAAATAAAAATAAAAATTTGGATATTCAGCCAATCAAATTTGGACATGAGTGTGTATAAAAAAAATCTGGCAAAAACAAAAAGGTTGATGAGTTGTATAAGTAGTGAGATTGATGAGAAGCATACATTAATAAATTTGGTTTAGGTAGTAGCAGAAATCGAATAGAGATCAATTTTTGTGGATCGTTTTCAAGATAATTAATTATTTATCAGAAGGTGGTTTTGGCATAGCATTTAAGCCTATACGAAATCAAATTGAAGTTGTCATTAAAAGTCTTATCATAAGAATATAAAGAGGTATGTAAAATAATTGTCCAGAGTGTAGCGAGTGTCTACGCAAAGTGATATAAAAGTTATGTTTATGATGTATTTATATTTACTTTTTTGATGCATCTGCATAAACATTAAGATCAGAAATGTAATTTGAACATAATGTGGACAAAAATTTCTAAATTATGTTTCGAATATAGTGCAGGTGATATAGTGAAGATCACTAGTAAAGGCCATCTAGATAATGGTTAACGATAGTAGCATTATTATTGATCCTTACATCATTTTGCCTTAGCTGTTAGTATTTGAAATACCCCAATAATCCGTGGTCTCTACACAGGGTTCGTTTATTCTACTCAAAATACTGGTAAATTACCTGTTACCGCAAAGAATAACAATTTTGATTGGCTAAACGGCTTGTTCTCATTAAAATTTTGCTCAACCTTGCTTCGTTTTTTATATTCATTCATAGTCTAGAACTTTTCGGAGTCCTTCACTTAGCATTAATGTCAGCCAATCTAAATCTTAAATATGGCCAAAATTTATCTTAACTTTACAATAATTCGGTAAAGCATTATGCGCATGAAATTTTGACCTGCATTATGCTAATGCAGGCCGGCTTCTCCACCTTTCATTAGTTTCGTCACCTTTCGCCATTTTTTGGCAAAAGTCTCGCCTTTCGCTAATGGCAAAACCTTTAGGTTTCATCTAACAACTATGCATTAACTTCAACTTTATTAATCGTCATAATCTCCCACATGATTTTAAAATGAAAACCGTTAGAAAAGAATTCGTGTTTTTTTTTTTTTTTTTGCATAAAAAAAAAAGGTGTCTGTTAGTATTATAAGTGCTAGCATTCTGCACGGGAATTTCTCTAATTTCTCCATATCTAATTTACACTAATTTATTTTTTCAAACCAAATTTATAAATTGTCAATTGTCATAATTTTGAAACCTAACTTATTTAATTTGACTTTCATATCTTTCTTATACGGTATATAATTACTTATATGGTTTTTGGTATATGTGGTCGTACGATGTAATAATTTTCGTTACGTGGTCGTAATTAGGTTGAGTCTTGCCATACTCGATGAGCTCTGAATTATATGATTTGGTAATTCATAAAAGTTAACATTATATAAAATAAAAGGATCCAATTAAATTGTGATAGAAAAGTATTTATAGATAGTTCGAGTACTCTCTAAGTAAAAAATTCGTAGTTGGAAATATCTCCATTAATAGAATAACAAAAATAATTCCAATCTTAAATGAAGTTTTAATTAATTGAAATTATCAATTAAATTGACAATTCTACTTTCTTAAGTTTCTTTGCTCATCGGAATTATCAATATTTTAACATCGTCAAGGTATTCCATAATAAAAGGCTGTTGTGTTGGTAAAACCTTTTTCTGGCGTAATTTATAACTCGGTCGGATAGTTTATTAAGAATTCATTCATTGTAATTCTACAGTTTTTAAAAGGATGGATTTAAAATTTTTAATCGTTAAATTGATATGAATAGTGTGCAATGCTTGCCATTTGATTATTTCTTTCGTTATTACACGAAGAGAACATTTATACAAATGCTGCCCATTAGGCCTCTGAGCTCGTAAACAATATTAAGGCGAAATACTAAGTCAAGTTGTTTAAGTTTGTCAAGCAAATCAGCGATTTCAATTAAATCCGCATTGTCTTTTTTTAAAAAATTTCTTTTGACGCTACTAAAGAAAATGTTCGATTAGTAACGTCACGAATAGTCGCCTTTTTTTTATTTTCTTTTGATGCTACTAAAAGAAATGTTCACTTATCAGTGACTAGTAACTAGTCGGTTATATATCACTAAAGGAAATGCGTCTTTTTTCAATTTTCTTTTGACAGTACTAAAAGAAATGTTTAAAGTGGGTCATAATACAGTTATATACTGGTGTCTTCGTATAAGTGGAATGAAATTCCGCTTTTCCGCTTACACCCAAGACATCCAGTGTATAACTTAGTGATGGATCATCAGGCTCTATTTCAAGGAAAGCCGCTAACTTGTCAATTCCCATAGTCGT